CGCAGTTGATACTTCCTATACCCCCTGCATCTAATAACATTAAACGAACAAACTACGCACAAAGTACAAACAGATAATCATACCATAGGAACTCAATGAGATTTCCTAAGCACCTACGTTACTGAACGTACACGTACGGGGCCTTTCCATATGAAACGTACAAATGATATTTGTACGGGAACATGTACGCCGTCGTACGACCCGTACGAAAAAAAAAAAAAAAAAAAAAAAAAAAGGTCATCCAAAAAATCTGAAAGAAATATATGTGATGTAACATCCCAAAACAAGCAATATTTGTTAGAGCATCATCTACAGATTCTTATAATAATTGGAGAAAAAAAATAGAAACAGTAAAAAAAATTAAAAAATGTCGTACGGGGCCTTGAGTACGAGTAGCGTACAAGAAATGAGTACAACTTGTACTCGTACGGGGGTGAGCACAAGTCTCAACGTAGCTAAACACTAATATAACTATAAATAACCTATAAACTGGCCAATAAACCACGACTAAATATGCCAAAAAAAAAAAACTTAACTTCTTCATCACACGGTTCATCGAAGCAAACTCAAACAGACCAATGCAACAATCACTTAACCTTCTCATACCACAGATCATCACAATCATGACTATCGAATCTGAACCTGACCACGTGGAAAAAGAAATCAGGCAAACCATACAAGCATTACAAAATAACAGATTAAAAAAACACAGACTGTTCGGCATTATAAACAAAGTACTCCATAACCTACGTTACCGAACGTACACGTATAGAGCCTTTCTGTATCAAACGTACAGGTAATATTTGTACGGGAACTTGTACGTCCCCGTACGATCCGTACGGAAAAAAAAAAAAAAAACGTCATCCAAAAAATCCGAACAAAATATATGTGCTGTAACCTGCGTAGCACACCGAACGTGTTCGCGCGTTCACGTGAACAGCTTGCGAACATGTTCGGGCGAACATAATTTTTTTTCCGTAAAAAAAGAAAAAAAAAACTATTGTTTCGGTTTTTTATTTTTAACTCATGGCTGGCTACGAATTTGAACATTACTCCAAGGGAAAAGTTGTTTTTATTGTTGTTTTACATAACATATAGTTTTTTCAGACCTTTTTGAGAACTTTTTTTTTTTTTTTTTTAAATATTTTTTATATTCGCGCTCGGAGGGTTTTGAGCGCTTGCTCGCGTTCGCCTCCGTACGTGAACACGGTGCTATGTAGGTTGTAACATCCCAAAACAAGCGACATTTGCGTGAGCACAATCTGCAGATTCTTATTAGAATTGGAGATAAGAAATAAAAACAGTAAAAACAATTTTAAAAAGTCGTACTGAGTCTTGAGTACGAGTATCGTACAAGAAATGAGTACAACTCGTACTCGTACGGGAGTGAGTACAAGTCGCAACGTAGTTCATAACCCTATGGACTACCAACCCTTCCGATGTGATCCGCGGGTAGTACTACAGCACCTACTAAACCACACCACCCAGAAATAAACATAATACAGGAATACACACAACCGTTTATGTCAAAGCAAGAACGCTTATACATTCTACATACAGCCCACGCACACTAGACCCGATTAATAATAATAATAATAATAATAATAATAATAATAATAATAATAATAATAATAATAATAATAATAATAATAAGAGGAAGATTCAAACACACCGTACGCACGATATCAAAAATATGTCATCAAAAATATGTCATTACAGCCCAGCACCTACTTCCGAGCCAAGTATGTGATCAAGTCCCCTTGTGCTAACCCAAACAAACAGCCTATATCCCACCGGTTTTAGCGACAGACTCATTCCGACCAAAATTTGTCCAACCAGCCAGAACCTACTTCCTAATTGTCCACGTGCCATGTTTCCCACCGCTTATACCTTCCAACAGGTGAGCACATCCACCCAATCTTGCCAAATCCCTCCCTTTCTTTTAGAAAAGTATTTCAGCGCATTGTCAAACCATCGGTCAGGAAAACCCCGCTTATGCAGTTCGACTTTGAATGTGAAAAGGAAGGCACCTTCCATACCCTCTTCCGTCGTCATTGCATATGCCCAATATAGATGACAACCATTTTCTGTTGCTTCGATGACAAAGAGCAAAAATCGTGCAAACTCTGCAGCAAACGACGTCCCTTTAGTTCCCTTCGTTGGTTTTTGTGCAAAGCCACACACGCGACCTTCCCCTCCTCCGGTGCGGTCAGCACCATACATCATAAGAAGTCCCACCAATTCCCCTCGCTAGTCTTTTCCAAAACGAGGTTTCCATCATATGAATTATCAAATCTCTCAACAATATCATACGCCTTTCCCTTCGACCAAACATCCCCCTTTATGTACTTGACAAAGATCGACACATCGTCGATCATACGAATACCATGAATCAACGCACAGTCCCTACCCAAGGAGGACAAGAAGGAAAACTCATTAAAGGCGCATAACAGACAGGCCGGCGTGGGGCTTGAGGGTTTTCCCATAGGAATTCCCATGTCCTGTTTCAACAGAACCCCCGCGACACTAATATAGGTGTGACAGAGGTCATACTGCACAAATTCAATCAACTGATCAAAACAACAATGCAACCAACCTTCCTGCTTTTTACCGAATCTGATCTTCGCTCCTTTCCCATGCTTCTTTACCATCAACCCCACCGCCCCTCCCGTACCCAAAAATCACAGATCCATGCAACGGCCTCGCGAACCGAAATGTGAGGCAAGTTATAAAACATTTCCTTTACATCAAAGCTAGCTTCAACAATACCCTCATTCGCATTCACATCGTGGTTGATCCTACGAATCTCCTCTGCCAACTCAGAGGTACTACTAAGATTAAAATGGGTCCTACGAGGTAAGTCCCATAGCATATGATTGGCCATCGATGATATCCTGGAGTTTGCCTTAACCGCATGTTCTGAGTGAGATGGGCAAACCGGTCTCCGCCTGAAGATGTCCTTGTGTTTCGGTACTACGTATGCCAAGCCAAATTTCCCTTCGTCATGCGGTGTCATCCCATTTTCCAAGTGCCTGAAAACCTTTCTCACTGTACTCCGCTAACATACGACTAACCACAGTTTCCTCGTCATCCTCAACCTTACCAAAACCTTTATTACCATTGAAAAGCTTAATCATCCCTTCCGCATAGACAATGGGACAGCAAGCAAGCGTGTCCACGGGGTTTGCTTGTGTGTCCCCGGGGTTGTGGTCAATCGGGCAAAAAACCAACTCTCCCAATCTTCTCTTGATATCCCTGGCAGCGGACTCCTCCACGGCCCGACTATCCTGCTCCCCACATATGAAACAGTCACCCAGAGACTCAAACGCATCGCTATCCCAGCTAACAGCTGACAGTCTCCTTTCGCAAAAAGCCTTGGCTATCTGCTTCTGCAAATCAAACAAAGCGGTCCTTCGATCAGGCTTGAGGATGTTCCACAACTTACGCATCCAGACAGGCAAGTCTTCCATCTCTGCCAACCTACAACATACATGCCCGTCGACCTTTGTCAGCCCTGCATCAGCATTCTGACAACTGCATTCCAGTGTCGACATACGTGCAAATTTCCTAAGATTGTGCAACACATCCCCCACCGTTCTGTTCCTTGTCCACACAACCCTCATCCTCCTTATCAACATGTTCTTCCATGCCACAGAAATGTCCATGCGTCCCGACAATTGTACACACATCTGCTTCATTCCCGCCTTGCTAATATTGCTATCAAATTTAACCTTAACCACCAGTTGCTGCCTAACATTGATTCCAAAAGTCTACGAATCGCCCCAGAAATAATCACTCGTACCTGAAACCTCGTCCTTTTTTCCTAAAACCCCCAAATCGCACAAAAGCAGGCAATCAGCTTCTCCAACCCCCAGTTAGGAAGCTTCTTACGTTCAGGTGGGCATCGCAATAATTGCATAAGTGGCTCCTTCAACCTCTGTGTACCCGAACAAAACAACGTAATAGTTTCAAAGCCAATAACAACACCCTCCCGGAACCATCCCTTCGCATCTCGCAGGTTCGAACTACCCAACGCAGATATCACAACCGAACCTCCGTAGCATCTCTTGACCAATTTTCAGCCGCCAACTCACAAGTCCCCTCCACTACATGTAACACTCACGGTCTTCACCCGCCTCTCACTGCACATGTCCAGAATGTCCTTCAGCCTTGAAGATGCTACCCCTTCCTCAGTCACGAACTTGAGGTGTGTCCGCCCTACGAGTTTACTACAGCCCTGCGACAATGCCTTCTTCCTCTTTCTCCCACGCTCCCATTTCCCAGGTCTCCACTTGCCTGTCTTACTTCTCCTACTTCTAACATTCAGAGAGGCATCACTAAAGCGAATCAGCATTTTCTCCACTTGCAGCATGTCCGCCTTCTCACATCGGCATAACGGTAAGGGGATATATCCTTCGATACTGACCCTTCTCAGCCAATGATACAACCTATGGTTCCTTGCATCCTGCGCGCCGTTCCGCCCACGCTCAGATCGACCAACGTGTTCTAACCACCTTACGTGCAACGAGTCAGATGTGGAGCCCACATACACCTTCTTGTACCATGGCGAGATCAATAAATACACCAACGGTCCTTCCACAAACAGTAGGTCGTCTTCCCAACCTGCGACATCCGTCAGATAACCCCGAAACTTTCATCCCCATGGCAGCACGCTCGACAACACTAGTAAGATAACCACAAGCTGCATAAATCTACACAGATCGAGGTCCCGTGACCGTCCCTCCCGCTGACTCCTAATCCGAGCTAAGGTAGCCCATAGCGCCGCGTCCGGGAGCCCACATTAGCAGTCCGAGTTAATCTCGTGGACCGACACCACATCACGACTGGTCTCCTTATCATCCTCATTGCCTGCTTCCTCCCGTACAGTTTTCAAACAACTGCTATTGAAGCTCCCAAACGCATTCGTCACCCTTCTCTCCACGATCCCGTCCACTGTAATATCATGCTCCTTATACGAAAGTCCCAACTTCTCACAAATTTCTGTGAGTTGTGCTTTGTTCTTCTTCCCCAATTCTTTTCTCTGCTCCTTGATAAATTGATGTCACTCGTGGACTTCCTTCGCGGCGCTCGTCACCCTTCCTGGAGATGCTTTCTGCTTACTCTTCCTTACACTCCTGTCGTTCTGTTTCTCCGCTGCTTCCTCCATTCTCGTTCGCAGGTTTCTAACCGGAGTGTGTGCCATCATGCCTACCCTGGCCTGCTGATCAACCTTCTCCTTCATCCTAATCACCTCCGCTTGTGCTTCCGCCCTCTTTTGCTTAAGAACGTCCATCTCCTTCATAGTCACTTGATACATGGCTCTAAGTTCCTGCAGTTCTTTAAGATGGCGATCGGAGTCCGGTGTACCCGCACTAGCACGTAAGCGAGAACGAGTAAGGCCCTCCTCCGCAGTAGCACCAGCCTGCACTGCAATCGAACCTCACTTATTCCCTGGTCGTAAGGCCTCGTTTCACCAGGTGATAATTTCCTCATTCGCCATCTCCGTAGTCCTGCGCAGTTCTTCATTCTCTGAAGCAAGTAGCTTCAACCTTCGTTCGAGCGTGCACCGTCCGACCTCAGCCTCTCGTCGGAACTCCTCTCATTCCCGCTTAAGGCTAAGCAGTTCGGTATTCCCTTGTCGGTCATCCCCTTGACCTTCTCTGCATAGTCTCGAGCAACCAGACCCCCATCGACCGGATATCCGCACCGACCGGGGTTCTAAGCGTCTCTCCCACCCTCGTTTTTCCTTCATCTCCGTTGCGACCCCTCAACTCGTGATCACCCCCCATCTCGAACGACTTCTTACTAGTTGCTACGGCAGTCTCTAACTCCTCAACCTTCTTCTTTAATTTATCTAACTCACTCATCTCTTCCCCCTGTTTCTTACCGAAAAATGCATTGTTCATCTTCTTAAAGCATTTCTCCATGCGCTCCCCCATCGCTTCCTCAAGCTCCTCCCGTTCCTTCCGTCGGATCTTTCTAGCCTCTTTTTCCTCTCTTTGCTTCTTTGCCTTTTCGTCATTCTCCTGTTGTTCTCGTGCTCTTTTCTTCAATCTCTCGATAATCGTCTCAATCTTGTCGACACGCTCCCCCATCCTCGGGTACCAGTTGACCTTAGAAGGCTGCGAATATTGCACCTGCTGCGGAACACTTGGTGGTGCTGGCAGCGCCAAGAGTGGCTGAGCCGGCTGCATCGCTCCTCCGTAGCCGCCATGACCCCGATTTGGGCATTCCCCACGTATATGCCCGACCACTCCACAAGCGTAGCAGGTAGGAATGAAACCCGACATGTCGAAAGAGGAATAAGAATGGAAGGGGATAAGAAGAAAAAGAAGAAAAAAAGAAGAAGAGGGGAGGAAGGAAGAAAAGAAGGGGAGAGGAAGGGTAAATCCGTAGTCAAACGCCATGGAGTATCGATGAGCAAGTGCATAGCCACACTGAACGTAGTTCTATTTCTACGTAGGTTATTACAAAACATTGTGAGGTAATATTAATTCCTCATACTTATATTATGCTTAATCATTGTCCAACACAACGCAAGAGAAGGGAGAAGAAGAAGAAGAAGAAGAAGAAGAAGAGGAAGAAGAAGAAGAGGAGGAAGAAGAAAAAGAGGAAGAAGAAGAAGAAACCGTACGCACAATATCAAAAATATGTCATTAAAGCCCAGACGCGACAAATAGCCATAAGAAATGAATGGCTGTGAACTCGGCGTGTGACCCTACATATTTCGGTCGGTCGCCGTACCAGCTTCATCAGGGGTCTTGATGTCGCTTTGAAAACATCGTATGATAGAACATCTTAAAATACTAAAACTTCCTTCAGCATAAGGTCCTTTCCCACCTGCACGTCCAGGCTTCCCATGAAAAACTAAGGAAAAAGGTCCTAAATAAGTCCTTAAAAAAAGGGGTCCTAAAAAACTACGGTCCTCGAAACTTCCGAGCTCACCTCCCCCGGAATCCAAGCAAAGCAAACAGAACTACACCAGGCCTTATCCAACCCTTCGAAAGCTGATCCTCGAAACTTCCGAGCCAAGTAGGTGATCAAATCCCCCTATACCAACCAAAAAAACAACCTATATCCCACTGGTTTTTACAACAGCCTACTCTGACCAAAATTTGTCCAGAACCAGTCAGGAACTACTTCCTGATTGTCCACGTGCCATGCTTCTCGCCTGCACGTATTAGAGTGGCCTCGGGTCACTTGCCCGGCCGAGCCAAAAAAACAATAAAAAAATAAAAACTATTTTTTAACTTTATTTTTTATTTTAAATTTGGTAAAGAATTTGGATGTTACCGTAGGGCAAAAGTTGTTCAATTTATTTTTCTGCATAACATAGTTATTTTTTAGATTTTTTATTTTTATTTTTTATTTTTTTGCTAGAAGCCTAGAACCTTCCCTGGTCCTTCCACAGTCGGACCTCCTGGGAAAATAGGGTGACACAAGCGACCCGGCTGGTAGCCTAGGTAAAGAATATAAATAAGATAAAAATAAAAGTAAAAAAATAAAAACTATAAAAAAATAAAAATAAAAATAAATAAATTCATACTTCCTGATTAACTTAATTAATAGATCTCACACATATCTTGAGAAACCACAAAGCTAAACCCATAAATCTATAGGTCTTAAACTATAAATGACTTATGGAACTTGCAAAAAAAAAAACCGCAACTACAATTCGCCACGGTGACGATGAAAACGATGTTTTCTTAAAAAAAACCTATTAACACTAACCCAAATCTGAGTTATGGGATACGCAACCCACACACACACAAAAAAGGGGAAAACAAACAGTGTAGTGTTGAACTAACACCCCCAGAAAAACGCGCATCATCCACACATAAATTACAGGTACACACACAGAAAAACACCCCCAAAAAAAACACATCGGACAAAAACATAAAGGATAGAAAACACCCCGCACAAAACACCCCAGAGAAAAACGCGCCACACACAAACCAAAAAAAACACCACCCCAAACAAAACCATCACCGCACCACCATACTCAAACGACACTGCCAAAAACTCCTTTAATATACGACAACGCAAGTCGCAATGCACCCGCGCAAAAAAACCCACCACTACCTTGAGGATCACGCGCCTTGGCAAACTCCCCTCCCTAAAACGATAGATAAGTCCATCCTCCCGGCAACACTGGCACTAGAACAAAACAAACTCGTTTTAGACTCGAGCATCAGCACAAGCACAAAAACGTGGTTACCATTCCCCTTACAACAAAAAAATTCCCACGAGAAATTAAAGTTGAAAAAACATTCCATACAAAAAAAATCCTTCATATTTATAAATTATCATTCCAATGTTCATCCAATTCTACAATTTACAGTTTTATTTGATAAATTCCCGTTTAAATATGAGTTTTCCCTTCCAACTATATCTATTTGTTCAAGATGGAATAAAAGTCTGGACGAGTTTATGAAATGTTTTAATTAAACTTTCATTCTATTACAACAAATATCTTCTGATTTGGATTGAATTAACCTATTTATGACTAAAAGTCCTAACTTAGAATGACAGTCTAATTAAAATATTTCATGAACTCATTCAGACTTTCATTCCATCTCTAGCATGCAGTTCAAATAAGAAGGGATAACCCATTCTTGGAAGGAAAGTTTTCAAGTAAGACGGAAAATTTTAAAATTGGAATGGCATTTTTTAAGATGGAATGAAAATTTAAAATTTAGAATGTAATTTTGCTATAGAATGATTATTTAAGTATGGAAAATTTTTCTGTTGTACAAGCAAACATCCTCTACTCAGACAGAACGATCAAACACCCACCAACATGGAAACCTCACACCCATTTGTCGCCCCTCACCCATGCAAAGCACACACCCCATCGCGAACACACACCCCACTACCACCCGCTCGTAACCAGCAAGCTCACCCCCAGCAAAACAATTAGTAAAACACCACTTGCTACCACAACTATGTATCCCCACCATATAACATGCCCACCACCACTGGCTTATTCATCTGCGCATGGCAAGCTTCCGGAACTGGCCGAGGAGCTCGTCCGTATTCCCCAACCTCCTATGTTGCCATTTCGACTTCCTGACGCCCGCCTAACCAGCGAGTACGAGCAGCCTAACACTCGACTACAGGAAGTCTTTGCTAACGCCTCCTAATCCCCTCCCGCCATCGATGCGCTCCTCTGAGTTGCGTACACGACTTAACTCACCGGGGGAACATGACTGCAGTCGATGAGACTTCTTCTTCGCAGGCGCTTCGCTCACAGGTATGTTACTGCTCAAGCATACCCACTGATAAGCCCTTTTAAACCCCCCTACCAACTTTCCCCAGTCCAATTCCCCCCTCCCCATCTGCTAACTAATATGGAGCATTCTCCCTCTAAGGAGCTGCTATGGGTGCTAAGCAGCGAAGCGCGCTTCAGGGCATGCACCCCCCCTATAGTTGTCTTCAACAGCCATCTCTAACCCCAGCCTAACCTCTAATCCGCTCCCCCCTAATTGATAATGCAAAACTAAATTGCAATGCCATCCTCCTGTTATGCAGTTGATGACTAGTTTTCCCCTCTTAAACCGAATATGTGTTAAGCCTGCTGCTAACTTGTCGCATGTTTACGATTGGATAGACTCGGATACATGGTCTAGTTCCCTATTGTGTATGGGGTACCCGTGTTATACACACCACTACACACACACATACACACACACACACACACACACACACACACACACACACACACACACACACACACACACACACACACACACACACACACACA